CCAGGGAAATAAGCGTTTTTCGTGACTCATCTGACCAGGCAACCTACAGTTGTTTTGAATAGTATTGACCTCTATAAAAGAACCTACATGTTTCCTGCAGTCGATTTTTTGGACTTAACTAATCATTAACAAATTAAGGTCAAAAACGGTAAAAAAACGGTAGAAAGTTGCAAAATAAGTCAAAATTTCTGTTTTTTATAAATGTTAATTACTTTTTTTTTAATAAACATATAACATTTATATTACACACAATGATAGCTCTCGTGGTGCTTAAAATAAGATAAAAAATTTAAGTCGATCAGTCAAAGAGTTTATTAGTTATTTAATTTGTTTCCCAAATTAAATTTTTTTGTAACAATGTAAGTCAGAAAATTAAATAGGTATATTAAATATATAGACAAATTCTAAAAGAAAAACATTTGTTCTATTACTAATATTTAAAAAAAAATGAGACAAAATAATTCTAAATATTGCAAAATAATTTGAGTGAATTAAATTGATAGCAGCTTTGTTTATAACAATTAAGAGACCTTATTAGGGTCATCTGAAAGAACATACTTAAAGGTTTTGATATGAAAATTCGAAAAAGATTGCATTTTAATGGAATCGTTTACAAAGCTCCAAAATTGTGATCCTCAAAATTGGTCGGCTTTGAAACTAGTGAGAGCTCAGGAGGGGAAGGAGCTGTTAACTCTATCTCTGTTTCTTGTTTATAGATTTCGACGTTTCTTTTTTTTAATCTGTAGGTACAGTATTACGTACATTACAAATATGTATTTTTTAAAAAATTTAGGTTCTTAGAAAGAAGTAAAGCCGTTTCTAAGAGTATAATATATATATATATATATATATATATATATATATATATATATATATATATATATATATATTAAGGAAGTACCCGTAATATACTTTGAGTAAACTTTTCACTGTAATATTGCAGCATCATATTCTTCCGATTAAAAATAAGATTAAGATTGTGGTAAGAAATAAACAATGTGTTTCAAACGTCAAAGTTTGGACGTTCAAGTCTATATATTTTAAAATGCAATGGTGTATAAATTTGTTTATGTATATTTTAAACTGACTTTTGCAATATAACATCAAAATGCATTTGAGCATTTTTAAACGAATTGACTTTTATCTTGTATTTTTTGTTTTTTTCACATCTGATAAAACTTAATAAAAGATGGCCTTGAAAAACGCAAAGAAATTGATTTTTTCATCATCATAATAATATAGACTAAAACAACTTTCACCATGTAGGATTTTTCTAAGTTGCTTAGCAAGAAATAATACCTAAAGTAAATTCAACTTCAAGCTACGGCCAGTGTAAACAAATGCACGCTGGAAACACGCGTTTGTTCAGGGCCGGACTAGTAAATTAAAGCTGCAATACAAAACCTTATATAATTTGTAGACGTCTGACAGGTACAGATTATAGTACACCAATTTTTTAAATATAAAAATGATTTACAAAGTCGAGAGTTATTAACAACAAAATAAAGTATACAAAAAAAAGTTTATAAAATTACCGTATTTTATCTTAACTTTCAGAATATGATGTACTGCTGTCATCATTAAAGTTGATAATGATAGGCTCAATTTGTGCCTCAATTAAATTGTCCAACTCCCACACTTTTGGCTCCACTTCTTCTTTTACGTGTTTGACGCAGTTTTTCCATTTTTTCATGGTTACAGCAGACATAGCTTCATGAAATAAATTTTTAATGTCAGCAAATTTAAATGTTATGTTATGCGCTGCAACATAATTCTTGACTTCCGCCCATACAAGCTCGATTGGATTGAGTCGGTGGCAACCTTAAAACTATTCAGTTCATCTACTATGTACTTATTATATTCGCCTTTATGTTGTTTAGCGATTTCTAAAAGTTGTACCTTTAACATCGTCTCTTCAAAGGGAATGTCTTTTAAGCGAAGTCAATTTTGAATATCTGCCTTTTTTGTAGTCATTATGGGATTTTTTCCAATTTTCTGGAATGGTAAGGTGCATTGTCCTTTACAATTACAGCATTTTTTCCAGTGTTGTTAAAATCTTTCGGAGCCAATGTTCAACTGACTTCCCATCCATCTCCTCATGGTAGTCTCCACTCTTGCTTGACTCACACAGTGCATCCGGAACAAAACCATTCTCACTTCCGATGTGACAGATTATAAATCTTTTACCTATTCCTAAAAGTGATATTAAAGATAATAGATAAAAAATTAAAAGTTTATTTGAATTACCTAAGGAATTTCTTAAGCCAGTCGACAGCCCATCCAAAAATGCACGTCTTGCAGAAGTCACAGAAGCATCCACAAAAACTACCACTATTACTAGCAGTAGCATCCACTACGCTATCACTACTGTAGTGTACGAGTAGTGATAGCGTAGTGATCAGTGAACAGTGTAGTAGTGTCTGGGGGCTCGGGAGACTGAGACCTCGGAAGCCCTGAGGAAGGCATCAGAGAGGATGCCGAAAGCTTGGCAAAATGGATATCGACGCGGTACAAGTAAAATGTAGTGACTTAGTGGGTATGTCCTATGTTTTAATATTATTTTAATTATGACGTCTAATTGTTAATACCTAATATTTACATGCTTGTCAATATATATTCTTGAAAAAGGCATGGATTTCCTGCCGAAACGTCGGAAAAAATATATAAAAATGTCTTAGTATCAAACTATTTTTTTTTATGAACCTAAGCCCAAGAGAATCTACTAAAAAATATATATTAAGGTTCAAGAACTAAATTCAAACTAATATATATATATATACATAGATTTATTTTAAAAAATAAAAACTGAAAATAAATGTTTAAACAAATTAAATGGTTTATTTCACATCCTAATTATTTAAATAATACATATTCGTAATGTACGCAGAAAGTACATACAAATTAAAAAAATAATCGTCTCGATATCTATAAACAAGAAACAGTGATACAATTAACAACTTCTTCCACCTCCTTCGTTCTCACTAGTTTCAAAGCCGACCAATTTTGAGCAGCACAATTTTGAAGCTTTGTAAGCGATTCCATTAAAATGCAATCTTTTTCGAATTTTTCATACTAAAACCTTAAAGTATGTTCTCTCAGATGATCCTAATAAGGTCTGTTAATTGTTATAAACAAAGCTGCTCAAAGTGTCCCAAAGTGTCCCAGGTCAACTTTTTTCCTTTTAAAGGCTGTCAAAATATGAAAAAAGCAGTATTTTGCAGTCAATGGTTAAAAAGTTATTCTAATTGTTTTTAAGAAAAAAATTGACACGTGTTTGCCAAATTATTTTGCAATATTTAAAATTCTTTTTCCTTATTTTTTTTTTTTTGATAACGTTAATAGAATAAATTTTCTTCTTTTAGAGACTGTCCGTATATTTAATATACCTATTAAATTTTCTGACTTATATTGTTGCAAAAAAATTTAGTTTGGGATAAACAAAATAAATAACTTTTAAACTCTGACTGATCGACTTGAAATTTTGATCTTATTTTAAACACCACAAGAACCAACATTGTATGTAATTTAAAGGTTATAAGTTTATTAAAAAAAATTATTTTTGAATTATTTTGAAACTTTCTAAGTGACAAATAAGGATAGCGACGTTTAGAAAACGCCATTTTAAAGGTTTTTATATGACTTTTTTTTTTTCTTCTTAAATTTGTTTAAAACGCTTTACTTTTTGCTGATAGACGAAAAATTGCCGTTTTTTGACCCTAATTTGTTAATAATTAATTAAGCCCAAAAAATCGACTGTAGGTAACATACAGATTTTTGTTACAGAGGTTTATACTATTCATATACTTTATGCCAGGCCGGTTTGGTATCACAAACAGGGTACTCTTTTTGATTATTTCCTTGGTCTACTTAGCAGGATACAAACGACACTGTTGTGCTATTATACTAAGGAGTAAATAATCTTTTTACAAGTCCTGTAAGTTACGCTGCCTCATATCAAATGTCACATATATTTAAAAGTCAAATATTTATGTAGTACATCATCAGATTAAAATAAACATATCTTTATATTACAAACATTTGGTAATATCAAAAAATTATAGCCATTAATATGTTCAAACGTAGATTATCGTTTAGTACACAAATACTTATTTACCGAAAATAAATTATAAAAAGAAAAAAGAAAAGAAAAGGAAAGGAAAATAAAGTGAAGGAAAGTAAAGGAAAGAAAAGGAAAAAAGGAAAGGAAAGAAAGAAAAGAAAAGAAAAGAAAGAAAAGAAAAGAAAAGAAAAGAAAAGAAAAGAAAGAAAAGAAAAGAAAAAAAAGAAAAGAAAAGAAAAGAAAAGAAAAGAAAAGAAAAGAAAAGAAAAGAAAAGAAAAGAAAAGAAAAGAAAAGAAAAGAAAAGAAAAGAAAAGAAAAGAAAAGAAAAGAAAAGAAAAGAAAAGAAAAGAAAAAAAAAAGAAAAAAAAAAAGAATAGAAAAGAAAAGAAAAGAAAAGAAAAGAAAAGAAAAGAAAAAAGGAAGAGAAAAAGTAAAGAAAAGAAATGAAAAGTCAAGAAAGAAAAAGCATGGAAAGAAACAGAAATAAAGAACAAAAAGTAAAACATGAGCAAAAAAGAAAATAAAGGAAAACACTACAGAAAAAAAAGAAAAGAAAGAAAAAGAAAAGAATAGGGAAGCACGCAAAAAACCATTACTGAATATACTAAAGTACTATAAGGTATTTATAAAATATCAACTACTTAAATATATTTATCGATATAATATTTACGTAGTCCCAAAAAGTCTGTGTTATTCAAGGTGGCTCCGTCTTTGCTCTACAAACTGAAAATTTGTCAGTATTCAAATAAGTAAAATATAAAAAAGGGGAAATAAAAAGAATAAAATAGTATGGATAGTCATGAAATTAAAATAAGAAAACGTGGTTTATTTTGAATAGAGAAGTAATCGAAAAAATGTTGATATCCTTAGGAAATTGAAACAGAAATTAATTGAAGCCCTACTTAATTAATCCATTCATAAAAAAAATAAACCAACTTTTTATTCTAAGTCATATATTGATATTCTTCTTTCAACATTGTCATACAAAGAGAGCTTTCTTTCAGTCATTCTTGCTACAACAGAAGACCGACGTCGCTCACCTTTATGAGATGATTTGGAGAGTCTTCGTTCATCCAACCGAGGAGAAGACGCCTTTGACCCACCTTCTTTCAACAGTGGTTCTTTTTCTTCTGTATGTTTAGGTTTTAAAACAACGATTTCTGGAATATCCTGCGATTTGCTGCAGTATTTGAGGAGACTTGGATCAGCTAAGGCTTCGAGAATTTTTAGGTGATCGTCTTTAATGTTGATGAGAGCGAGATTCGTTTCTGATTTGTTGTACATCTGCAGTAGCTTTTCTAAAGTCTACAAATTACAATATTACTTTAACAAATACGCAAAATAAAAATATAGTTACTATGCAAACATTATTTATGTCAATATATTAAAATGAAACAGTATTGTTAATGCTTTTAACTGATTTTTAAAAAATAAATATAAGCTAGAAAAATTCCAAGCTATAATATAATAATTTCTATCAACGTTCTTGTTTATGTTTCATTTTATTTGATGTACAAAAACATTAATAGCATAATCAAACAATCCGTCTACACTGTACAGTACATAAATACATGCGTATCCTAGAAACGAACATAACAAAAAGAAATTTAACAGCACAATCGTCTGAATTAGAAAACGAGGCAGACAAACTAAGTAAGGCTGATCTTTCAGTGTATCACCCAGTTGTCAATTAGCAGTAAACAGTAACCTTAAATGAAGAAGATAAACAAATGGAAAAGCTGATCTTTCAGTATCACCCAGTTGTCAATTAGCAGTAAACAGAAGTAGAAATTTATCCCTGGTTGTGCATTGCCTAGAGCAAGACGAGTTTGCACTTATTTTGGATTAGAAATTAAAGCTTGAATAATTGTCATTTCAGGTTGGTTTTTTTTTTTTAAGTTTGATGGTGGAAGGTGAAAAAATACAAGTAAGAGCCCTACTAACATTTTCTTTGTGATCCTATTCCTTTCATCATCATCATCATCATCATTAGCCATTTTGCGTCCACTGCTGAACATAGGCCTCCCGTAAATAATTCCATTGCATCCGATCTTGAGCAACTTGAATCCAGTTAGACTGGATGCGCTTTAAATCGTCCGACCACCTTGTTGGAGGACGTCCTCGACTACGATAAGCATCGTGTCTAGGCCTCCACTCTAAAATTTTCTTTGTCCATCTTCCATCTCTGACCCTAGCAACATGTCCTGCCCAGTTCCATTTCAGGGTTGTAATTCTTTCAACTGCGTCCGTCACACCAGTTTTTCTCCTTACTATCTGACTCGAGACTCTGTCCCTGAGTGATACGCCCAACATTGACCTCTCCATTGCTCTCTGTGCCACTTGTATCTTATTAATTACTTTTCTGGTAAGCGTCAATGTTTCTGCTCCATATGTCAGAACTGGAAGTACACACTGATCAAAAACTTTTCTCTTCAAGCACATGGGAATAGCTGATTTAAAGACTTCCCTCAGTTTTCCGTAAGCTGCCCATGCCAGTCCTATTCTCCTTTTTAACTCTGTTGTTTGATTGTCTCTTCCCAATTTAATCTCGTGGCCCAGATACTTATAGGAATACACTTGTTCAATTTGCGTGCCATTAGTGGAAATGTTTTTTGCCAGTACCAGGTTGGTCATGTATTGTGTTTTGGAAAAATTAATTTTAAGGCCAACTCGTGCACAAGAGCTCTGAAGGTCTTGAAGAAGTTGGCATGCATGATCTACCTGATCTGCAATAAGGACTATGTCGTCTGCAAACCTCAAGTTGTTCAAAAATTCCCCATTTATATTTAATCCAATATTTTCCCAATTATTTTTTCTCATAGCACTCTGTAATAGGGCGGTGAATAGTTTAGGAGAGATAGTGTCTCCTTGCCTAATACCTTTCTTCAAGGGAAATGTGTCTGTGTCACCATAGTACATTTTTACAGCAGCTGTTGCGCTATCATATATATTTCGAAGAAGAGTTGTGTACCTATGGTCAATAGTGCACTCTGTAAGAGCTCTTAACATAGAGCTATGCTGGACTGAGTCAAATGCTTTCCCAAAGTCTACAAATATTAATATCAATAGCTTGTTGTATTCTATAACTTTCTCTATCAAGGATTTTATTACTTGTAGGTGGTCATTTGTTCCAAAGCCACTCCTAAATCCGGCCTGCTCTAGAGGTTGATGAAAATCTAGCTTAGGTCCCAGTCTGTTAGTAATTATTCTCATAAAGAGTTTATATAAATGAGATAATAAGTTGATAGGTCTGTAGTTGCCAATTTCTGTTACATCTCCTTTTTTATGCAATATTATCATAATGGCATTATTCCATTTTTCTGGCGTATTTCCTTCAAAGAGGCAGGCATTATAAAGGGTTTTTAAAGCCTTTATGACGCATTCGCCTCCTAGTTTTATCATTTCACTTACAATGCCATCTTCTCCAGGTGTTTTGTTGTTCTTCATACCTTTTAATGCTGACTTAATTTCCTCTTCGGTTATATCTGGAAGTTCCTCTGACCCTTGATTTAGTATTGCTGGAATTTCTACTTTGGGAATGTGATCATCTCGACTATATAATGTTCTATAGTACTCTTCGATGATTTTTAGTATCTCTTGTTGTTCATGTATGACATGTCCTTGATTATTTTTTAACTTATAAATATTCCTCGTTCCTATTTTCAACTTTCGTTTTAGAACTTTTAGGCTTTTGTTTTGTTCTACGGTATCAGTTATTTTCTTAGTGTTAAAGTTCCTTATGTCTTTCCTAATGGCTTTTGAAATGGTTTTGTTTAAATTCCTTAGCTCTGCAATGTTCGTTGTATGCTTTTCTTTCATTTCCCTTCTTTTTTGCATTAGGTTTCTTGTGTCTTCTGTGAGTTTTTCATTTTTTGTTGAGTGCTTGGCACTTCTTCTGTGCCTTCTTCAGGGCTTCTACCAATTTTTCGTTAAGCTGTTCAATATTGGTTTCATCTTACAGGTCTTTCTGTAGATTACTCTCTATTTCTTCCTGGTATGCCCTGGTGTTAGTAATCGCAGTGAATGTAACATTATTAGTCCTTGTTACCATATGTCTTCTTTCCTTCTGTATGTTTAAGACTATCTTCGCCCTAACCATTCTATGGTCACTTCCAGTTGAAAATTGATTTAATACAGTTACGTCTTAAACAGCGTCTTTTTTGTTAGTAAATATAAAATCAATTTCGTTCTTGTTTAAACCATTTGGTGATTGCCAAGTCCACTTTCTTTGGTCGCTTTTTTTAAAGTGCGTATTCATGACATATAGCCTGTGTTGCAGAAGAAATTCTATGAGAGTTTGACCCCTTTCGTTTCTATCGCCATATCCGTGAGGTCCAATTACAAACTCCGAATCATCTTGCTTGTGGCCTATTTTGGCGTTTAGGTCTCCCATCAGTATAGTAAAGTTGGTGTTTGTCTCTTGTATGGCAGTGTTAACGTCATCGTAGAACCATTCTACTTCTTCATCTGTATGGGTACTAGTACTAGTACCCATACAGATTCCTTTACATATTTCTATTCCTATCTATATTCCTTTACATATTTCTTAATCTTCTATATAGCCAAACTACATATAAACGTTTTGGTAGATTTAAACGTTGTTAACGTTCGCCATTATGGAGGAAGAAATTCCTCCCGACCGACCACCAGATCCCGACCCTAATATAAGTCAAAATCTGTCTAAAAACAATGCAATAGAGAATGTAAATATTAAAGAAAAAAGTTTATATTCTGAATCAAATTGGGGGCCCTTTGAGGTCTTTGTTCAGGGTAAAAATAGTAATGTGGGTAACTATCATGTCCTAAGTATTGCTAAGACTATCTTTAATTTAAAACTGAAAGATATTGCTAAGTTTGATAGAAAGGGAAAAAATAGAGTTGGGGTAGTATTCAAGGACAGACAATCTGCCAATTCGTTTATCCTTAGGAAGGACTGGGAAGAATTAGGTTATGAGGTTTTCATTCCCACTCATCTCATCTCTTGTAAAGGTATTGTTAGGGAAGTTTTTAAATCTTTGTCAGAAGAGGAAATTAAAATGTCAACTTCTACTAATCTACCCTTTTGTAAAGTTATCTCTGTTCAAAGAATGAATAGAAAGGTGATGCAAAATAATTCAGAAACCACTTTCATCCCTACAGTTACTATTTGTTTAACTTTTTCAGGAAGGAATATCCCTAAAGAAATTGAAATTTATGGTCTGCCTATGAAGGTAGCCTTTGTTAGTCCAGTTCTCCAATGTCATAATAATTGTCTTTTATATGGGCATTCTATTTCTCAATGCAAGGGAAAAAACAGATGTGTTACATGTGGTGTAAATCATGATTCTCCCTCGTTTATAGAGTGCAGTAGGTTTTGTATGTCTGTAGTAAAGAAAGAAAAAGACAAAAGAGTATTAAAGAACTTATGTCATTTGCCAACTTATTCTATTATGAAGCTAACCAAAACATTCCAAGGGAAACATCTAGCCCAAAGTTGAACATTAAGGATTTTCCTAATCTTGTAACTAATCCATCCTCTGCAAATAGCCTTTGAGTTCAAGAGAGGAGATCAGTTGCTACATTCATGTCTTCAAATTATGTTTCCTACAGTCAGATTACAAAATCCACTCCATCAAAAAGGAAAAGAACATTAAATGTAGGCTTTGGTCAAAGTTCTCATTCTAAAGTATTGAACAATCCTAATGGGAGATCTACCAAAGAATCTCCTAGTCACTTTATAAATAACTCTCAGACCCAAAGGGATTTAAATCAGGCTAAATTAATGCTCAATCAAAATCACAATAATTTGGTTATGACATTTATTGGTGAATTGATTAATAAAAATTATAGTTTTCCTAAGGATCATGATGGATTAAATGTAGAGATTGGTAATCATAAAAACAAAAGTGTATCACATAATGCTATAAGTACTAGTCAGGAGCGAGGAGGGATGGAGGTATCTGGGTCTGAGGACTCAGAATACTGATTCCCCTCTCGTCTTGACCTGGTACACACATGTTTTTAACAATTTATATTTTCAATCATCACGCCCCACTAACTATTATTAATCCTATTAACTATTATTGGATTCCAGGGTATTCGGATATTAAGGGCAATTGTGTTGCAGAAAAATTGGCAAACATAGGAAGATCACTAAAAATGTCAGCCAAAATTAAATTGCATTATTCAAACTACTTATTTTATATTAAAAAGCTAATTTCCACTCTATGGGCACAAGAATGGAATTCAAACAGATAAAAAGGGTCGTTTTATAGTAAAATAGTCAATAAATGGAACAAATCACCATGGTTTAATCAATTTCCTTATAAAGACAGAAGGCATATCACCACAGTAATTAGAATGAGAACAGGACATTGTTCCACTCCAGTTCATCTATTCCTCATAAGTATTCAGGACAACTCATACTGAATCATATTATCCTAGAGTGTTTAATTAACGTTTCTCCAAATTTTGACCTCTACAAAGAATTATTTAAAACAAAACTACAAACTCCTATAGAGATTTGCTCTATCTATCCAATCTTAATCCTCAAAGACAGACAAAGAAATTTGTTGATTACTTTTCTTAATCTAGCCAAAATCAATCTATATTATATATTTCTATCTTATCTACTATAACACAAACTTACAAATTATTCTCTTTTTTTACACCTGGGTTCTCTATCATCCGTTGGTAGAAAAAAAAAAGAGGAACTTGGACAGTCCACAGTAAAGAAGCTATTGAATTAAGTAGATAGCTGCACAAGAGTTTGCTGTGGAACTCTGAGGACCTCATCAAAAAAGACTATGTAGAAAAAAACTGGTTGCTACCCCCAAGCGAGAAAAGTTTTATCCTGTGTTGAATAGTCTTTCCTATACTAACTTTTTGGCCCAAGAAGAAGAAGTTTCAACATAGTGTTCATTCAATATAAAATAATTTCAATTTAGTGTTATATGGGGATATTCGATTGTCTAGAGCAAGTTGAGAATACCCCCCCTGAATTAGCTGGGCAAATTATCCCCTGGGATATTACCCAATAAAAGAAGAAGAAGAAAAAGAAGAACCCAGCCACAGCGTGTGAAATAAGAATTGTTTAGGTGGACAGAACTTCACCGTCACACATGTGTGACGGTTGGTCGTGAATGTGTTAATTAAACCTGAGTTTTACTGTGTCTGTTGTCTAAAAGAGCTACCCTTCGCAACTGGTACTTACTTTTGCAGCTGAATAATCCAAGTTCACTATCGTTGAACAGTCTAAAATGATGGAAAGCGTGGGATTTTTATTTCTGGCCTCTTTGATATATTCATAGACGTAATCAGCACCTGGGTATAGCAAACCTAACTCGGGCTTTATGTATAAATATTTACCCCTATCATCGGAGTCCTAGAAAGATAGAATTATTGATATTAAAACATAATTATATTTAATTTTTCTTTTTGTTGCGATTATTTGACGACCATTAACTCCCTCAAAGAAAACTATCTATTTATTGGATACTACGCCTACACGGACATTTTTTAAGAGAAAGAATATATAACTATGCGCTTTTAAACATAAATTTAAATATACAGGGTAATCTACGCAAGTCTATCATAATCCATCATCTTTATTTTTATTATTTATTTTTATGTTTTTAAAAGCTACAGCCTCATCTCAAAACAGTTTATTATGTTAGGACAATGACTAATACAAGGTGAAATTTTAAAATTTTGTATAATTTTTCTCGAGACATTAAATAATACTTACATAAAATTTTGAAATGAATAATGTATCACACGTTAAATGCTGGTATTTTTTTAAATTTATTTAAATTTAACAAAAATTATTTAGGGACCAATGTAACAAGGTATAATAGAGCACCACTGTAACAAAAAACAAATGAAATAAACGCACCACTAAGGTTCAACTTTAAAATGAATCTTGATACGCTAAAGAAACTACTAATCCTCACAAAGGAAGAGATTAGATTAGTATGATAAACATATATATATATATATATATATATATATATATTATATATATATATATATATATATATATATATATAATGGCTGTACACCTCAGCGTGGGGTTAAACATGCTTTCTAGATCCTATTTCTTAAGTGGATCAGTCTTTTTTTGTTTATCTTATCTTCTTGACAATATCTCTCCATTTTTTCCTTTCTCTAGTTCTTCCTCTCCATTCACTGACTCCTGCCCTTTGAAGGTCTTCTTCAACTTCTTGCAGCCACTTTGATCTCGGTCTTCCCCTTCTCTTTCTTCCTCCTGAATTCCATTCTATCATTGCGTATGTCACTGCCCCATCGCCTGCTCGCCAAATGTGACCTAACCATCTAACTCTGCATTGCTTTATTTTAGTTACGATGTCTTCCTTAATTTCTGCATTTGTTCTGCTTCTATATTAATTTTGCTCTGTTCTGATTGGTCCTAGTATGGTTCTCATAATCTTTCTCTCTGCTATTCTTAAGTCTTCTTTATCTTTTTTAACCATCGTCATTTTTTCCCCTGTATATAATAATATTGGTCTAATTATGGTGTTATAAATGCTCATCTTACTTTTTTTAGTCAGTGTTTTGCTTTTAAGTAATCTTTTGTTTGCAAAATAAGCTTTATTCGTTGCTAATATTTTTTCTTTTATTTCGGATTTCCTTTCTCCGGATTTACTTATTGTAACTCCTAGGTATTTGAAGTATTCTACTTTTTCAAACTCAGAACTTCCTATTTTGATTTTTTCCTTCATTGGTTTTTTTCCTAATCTTAATATTTTTGTCTTTTTTTGATTTAATCTTAGCCCCATTACCTCCCCTTTCTCTCTTATTTCTTCAAGCTTCTTTCATTATTTTTCTGTTCTTTGCAATAATAGCAATATCGTCTGCATATGCAATTATTTGACCACCTCTTGTTCTGAGATTTCCTTTATTTATATTTCGCAGTACATATTCTAATGCTAGATTAAATAGCGTTGTTGATACGGCATCTCCTTGTTTCATCCCTTTATTTGAATTTGGCTGAATTCCTCTGTCTCTCTCTTTGTGTCTTTATGCCTATTTTTGTAGTTCTCATTGTCATTTCTATTAATTTTCTGAGTTTATGTGGAATTTTTAATTTTTTAAGTGCTGTCATTAATACGTTCCTTTTAATTGAATCAAATGCCTGTTTGAAGTCTATGAATAACATTTCCAATTCTAATTTATACTCTTTGATTTTTCCATTATTTGTTTTATTGTGTGTATTGCATCTATTGTAGATCTTTCTCTTGTGAATCCACATTGGTACTGTCCTACTGTCTTCTTTGTGATCTTTGATAACCTCTTTTTTATTATTGATGTCAATATTTTATATGTTGTATTTAGTAATGTTATTCCTCTATAATTTTCACAGATTTGTTGGTCTCCCTTTTTATGTACTGTTATGATCTGTCCTACCTCCCAGTCCCCTGGCATTTTCTCTTCTTTCCATATATTTTTCAATAGTGCCAGTATTTTTCTTTTTAGTTCCCTTCCCCCGTATTTTATTAGTTCTATATTAATTCCATCTTTACCAGGGGCTTTTCCATTTTTGCTTCTCTGTATTACTTCATCCAATTCCTCTAATGATGGTTCTTTTGAAATTTCGACGTCTACTTCATTTGCTTCTTCTTCGTGTACCGTTTCCTCCTCGTTATGCATTTCTTCTTCTGTTGTTTCCTCCGTCAAGAGCTCTCTGTAGTAATCTCTCCATACTTGCTTGTATTCTTGGTCTTCTATTATAACTATTCCCTCTCTATTTTTTATTCCGTTTGTTTTGCCCTTGTATTTTTTGTTTTGTATGATAAACATAGGAAAATGTAAAATTTTTTTAAGCCCTTCTCTCTATTCGGATTGCCTAATATAGGCCATTTATCTCTGTTGTTTGTAAGACGTTTCCGCATTGGCCCTGCAGTTCTTTTAATATCGTCGCTCCAGCGCATTTGCGTGGTCTTCCTCGTGGTCTTTTGGCTTCATATGGCCGCCAATTCCCGATTTCTTTATTCCATCGGCTATCCTTAAGACCACCCAAGAAAATCTTACAATATCTACCCTCTCCTAAGGACCCATTACCGCCCCTATCTTCCTGTGGTGTCTATTCTATTCCTTGTTCATGTGGACATGTGTATATTAACGAAACTGGTCGTTCCGTCAAAACTCGGATTCAAGAGCATCAAAGATGCATTCGATCAGGTCTTTTCTCCCATTCTGCAGTTGCAGAACCGGTCATTCCATATTGTTCGAAAAAACCCATATTATTTCTAAGAGCCCCTTCTTTTATTCCAGGAAAATCCGCGAATCTCTAGAAATCCGAAAAAATCTAATAAAACATAATATCAATCGAGAGGAAGGATACTACTTGTCTCCCATCTGGAATCTCAGTCTAGAGCCGCCGTCCGGTCCCGCTACCACGATGCAGCCACATGATTGGCCAGCGCACGCTTCTTGACGTTCGCGCCACGGAGTGTGCCGATACGTCCCGACACGACAGGTCACCGCGACTATAAATAGAGCGGTAGCGGAGTAATCGTCGGATTCACTCCCCGCCTCTCGACGAGTTAGTGTTCTGAGCTGTTGGACGTGAATCCCTGTCCTGGCATTTGGTTTTCACCTCTGGCTGCGTTGAGTAGTTGAGTTACTGTGACCAAATGCCCATCTTAATTTTTACATTTACATTTTTACACGTCTGCTTATTTCGATAGTCTGATTTTCTTTGCTTACCTTGACATTTTGACCCAGATATGTATATTCATCTACGTGTTCTATCTCTGTCCCTTCGATGTTTATCATAGGTTTGTCATCTTTGTTTGACATTAGTTTAGTTTTACCGCCTTGCAGAGCATCCAACTAGATGAGAAAGACATCAAACTTATTGCCAAACTTTGCTGGAACCAGACAGCCATTATTAATATCAACAACAGAGAATCAAAGCCAATCAGTATTGAACGAGGCGTAAGACAAGGCTGTATACTATCTCCCACCCTCTTTAACGTGTATTCTGAGAATCTATTTAGGGAAGCTTTAAAAGATCAAAAAGGAATTATCATAGGAGGAGAAATAATTAACAATATACGGTACGCCGACGATACTGTGATTCTAGCTGAAAACACCGACGATCTGCAGGAGCTAATCAATAGAGTTGACATGGAATGCACAAATTAGGGACTGCCGATAGATATCGATAAAACTAAATACATGGTGACCAGTAAAGTGGATATCGGCGCAACCCAATTGATATTAAACCAACAACCGCTGCAGAGAGTTCAGAGATTCAAATACCTTGGATGTTGGATTACCCAAAATCTAGATCCATCCTTTGAAATTCGATGTAGAATTGAAAAGGCAAGAAACTCATTTCAAAAATTCAAGCCTCTATTATCCAATAACTCATTAAATTTGGAAATTCGTAAAAAGTTTACAAGATGGTACGTGTGGTCTGTACTTTTGTATGGATGTGAAACTTGGACTTTAAACGCCGATAACATGAATAAAATCGAGGCGTTTGAGATTTGGTTGTATCGAAGGATACTAAAAATTCTATGGACTAGCAGAACCAGAAACGAAGAAGTTCTTCGAAGAATGGGACATCAACGAACTCTATTAAATATTATTAAGAGGCGTAAACTAGAATATCTTGGACATATAATCAGAGGACCAAGATATGAGTTCTTTCGGCTAATTATCACCGGTAAAATCGAAGGAAAGAAATGGATAGGACGGAAGAAACTCTCTTGGTTGAGGAATTTGCGGCAGTGGACAGGTTTGACAGCGGACCAATTGCTACACGTAGCGCAAGACCGAGATCAGTATAACAATATTATAAGCATGGTAGTCGCCGACGTTCCGTAGGGATATGGCACTCTAAGAAGAAGAAGAAGTTTAGTTTTGCTGAAATTCATTTTCAGTCCATTTTTACAGATTCTGTATAAAGCTTCTCAATCATCATATTCAGTGCATTGCACGTGTTGGCTATTATAAACATCATCTGCGTATCTAAGATGGTTTACGTATCTTCCGTATCAAAATTATTGCCAGAAATAACTCGAAATCAAAAACGAAACTACGAAATCAAAAAGGCACTTTTAGAAATAAAAAATAACAAATGCCCTGGTGATGACGTAGTTATCGAATAGATCAAACTAGGTGAAAATAAAATTATCCAGGCTTTGGCCAAGCTTTTCACCGAATGCATCTACCAAGGAAAAACTCCTTCTCAATGGAAAAATGCAGTCATTATTTTATTACATAAGCAAGGGGACATAACAGATTTAAAAAAACTACCATCCTAGCAGTTTCCTTTCACACAGATATAAACTTTTCACAAAAATTATTAACAACAGACTGGACCCTAAATTAGACTTCTATCTGCCTAGAGAACAAGCTGGATTTAGATCGGGATACAGCACAAACGACCACTTACTAGTAATAAAGAACCTTATAGAGAAGTCTGCAGGGCACAACAAACCATTGGCACTGCTATTTGTCGACTACTACAAAGCATTCGTTCCCATAAGCCATCAGAAAATGTTCTAGCGTAAGACTATCTGAACAAGAAACAAATAAATTCTGTATACAGCGAAGAGTACGGCAAGGAGACACAGTCTCTCCAAAACTATTCACGACGCTTTTAGAACATACTTGTAAGAAGGCTCATCTGAACGAGTATGGTATCAACATAAATCAAGAGAAACTCAGTCATTTTAGATTTGCAGATGGCATTTTCCTTTGTAACGTTTAAAACGTTACATTTTTGTTCTTATTAATTTCAAAGTAATTTCCACTATTTTCTGCTCATACTATTTGATTTTCATTGATAATAAGTTCTTTTTCCTTTGTTTGTATTCCTACATTTTATTTCAATATTTTCCTATTACAAATAAATCCGCTGATTAATTTCTTAAGTCCCTTCGTAGTCCTACCTTCGCTTACTTTATCGTACAAGAAACAGAAACCCCACTCCTAAATAATTTACTTCTATCAATCCGATCCGATTTAATTTCTTTTTAAAATAAACCAGCAAACGAGAAGGTATTATTAAAAAAATAAGTCCTCGTGGTCAGAAACTTCCAACGGTCTGGGTAAGTTAATACTTTGCTCTTTTTACAACATATTTTCATACTTTAATCAAGAACACTTTTAGTTTTTCGTATAATTTTGTGTACGCTAGTACTTAAAAACTGCTTACAATTTTTATTTTCTTTTTACCTTTGCTGTAATAATAATAATTCAATATAAATCGTATTTATCGCACAACTTTGTCTTTTTCATTTTTCATTTAATAATTTATCTATTAATTACAATTATTAATTTGTGAGTTTTGGCAACATCAGAGAATTCTGGATCGGTATACAGGTCTCAGAGAGAAGAGCTTTCCGCTTGCCAGAATTCTTCTGTTGTTGGACAAAACTCGTGCCATGACGAATTTTATAGCGGTTTTTGTTTTTCTAGCCACCTTGGTTTTTATTCAAGAGAATCCACCTTGGTTTTTATTCAAGAGAATCACCCTTGATTTTTATTCAAGAAAATCCACCTTGATTATGATATAAGAAAATTTACGTTGACATGGATTTTTTGAAATCCATCTCGATTTTGAAAATCCGCATGGCTTTGGATTGGAGAGGGATCCACATTGTTTCGGCTTAGTGGCATGGTTTTTGCAGACATTGTATGGCCTGAGTTGAGAAGAGAACAGCAGGAGGATCTCTCATAGAGTAGAGTTAAGTTTCTTTATTTCTTGAGATTTTGTATATAGATGCTTAATTCCCCGTTTTTAGAACCTCAATTTAATTGTTATTACATTTTGATTTATTAATTAAATATAAATAAATAAAGATATGTGTTAAAGAAATTATTTTATTAATAATTCCCGATTTCTCAAATTAAGTTAGTTTATGCTGAACATCACCCCTGAGGGGTTTCAATGTGCAATGGGTGAGCTAGCCGTTACACCTTATAGCCGATCATATGGATGATGCAATAATAATGATTAAAAAATTATATCACGCTTCCTTGGAGGTCGGACTGAAAATTAATAAAAACAAGACGAAAACAATGACCAATCTGGTGCTAAATTGAAATATTGCTGTTGATGGAAGGTATATTGTACAAACTACATTGTATAAGTATCTAGGACATGAAATTCGGTTGGGCAGAGATAACCATGCATGTGAGCTCCCACGTCGCATAAGATTAGCCTGGACAGAGTTTCGTAAATTAAACTATGTATTTAAATCGGGCCTACCCATATGCCTCAAGAGGAAAATCTTTGACCAATGTGTGTTACTTGTACTCAATTATGGAGCGGAAAAATTAACACTCACAAAAAGGTAGTTAATTCGATAGTTAGTTAAGATTCGCGTGACTCAGATGGCTATAGAGCGCCAGATGTTGGGTGTATCTCTGAGAGACCGAATCCCTATCGACGAAATTGAGGAGCGCCTAAAAGGAGGACTTCGCAGATTGTGCCGTGACGTGACACTTGACAGATATGAACATGGAGTGACGTCACCAATCATGTTATATTAAATATAATAAGATCTTCGCTATGATAAGGGAAGTTTCTTTACCTCAGATTAAGTATTTATCTGGCAGATGAAAAAGGTAGCCTTTCAGTTCAGAATAAACTTACCGATAGATAAAATATCAAATATTTATTTGCCAAATAAAGTACGGAATAAGTTATAACTTATATAACTATAAGGTATAATATTTGAGAGAGGATCGACAATTGTAATTGGTGTAATGAAGAGTTTTTAACAGGTTTGGATTAAGTAAACAAACAGTGATCAGCAAATATATTGTAAACAGTTGTTAATAAAACATTAAGACTTGATTCGGTCTGAAACACCTTATTACACTCAAGACAAAACACTCCCATTTTCTTTTATTTTTGAAGAAAGAAATCTACAATTAAAATACCAACGAATTGACAGTCAAAAAATAATTTCTTAGGTTATACGGTACGACGGTATACCAAAAATCACGTGTTTTTGACATCAATTTAAGTTTAGAAACTGATTGGTGACGTCACGGCACGATCTGCGAAGTGCTACTTTTAGGCGCTCCTCGAAATTTGGCAGGGCACGTCGCCATATTACCAGATAACCGATGGAAAAAACGTATTTTAGAGTGGAGACCAAGGAAAGAAGCAATACGTAGCAGAGGATGCCCACCAACTAAATGGACTGATGACCTAAAGCGTGTTAGCAATAACTGGATGCAAACCGCACAAGAGAGACACAGATGGAAAGGGCTGAGGGAGACCTTAATCAAGCAGTGGACGCATACAGGTAGATAATGATGATAACGGAGGAGGTTACTAACTAGAACGAATGATATACTAAGAGCTTTAAGAGAGCTTTAAGAGCTTTAAGAGATTTTACTTCAAGTCAATTTATTTTTAAAATTAAAAACAATTTACTTACTGTAACTAGTAAGTGTGTGTATATGCGTGTGTGCGTGTATGTGTGTATGTATGTGCGTGTGGGTATGTGTGGACGTGTGTGTGTTTTTGTGTGTTAGTGTGTATGCGTGCGTCTGTGTGTATTCATGTGTGCTTGTGTGAGAGTGTGCGTGCGTGATGCGTGTCCTATTGGTTTTGAGAACAATCTCCATTCGCCATCTTACTACCATATACCATAACTTATTTTGTGAAGACTAAATAACTTGTTTGTTCCTTATTTGTATATTAAATAATCGGATTTAAACGGAAAATGAAATTTGGGTTACAAACACTTACTTGTTTTAAATCAATGTGTATTTTTGGTCTCGCCCACATCTTCAGAATAAACATAATGTTAAAGATAGCTCCAATAAATATAGCTGCTTCCACGCCAAACAAAGTTCCAACAATCAGAGTGCCAAGGGTCAAAAAGAAATCCACTTCTAACAAAATAAGAAAAAAATTATATTAAATTTGTTAAATGTGTAACAATAATATAATTAAAGAATAACTCCCTATAAGGACCCCTTAAATTTTCAGGAAAATCAGATACATATTTGTATATACAGAGTGGCCCAAAAGTCTGGAAACGGCTAATTATCTCGTAAATTACTAGACATAATCATGCAAAATTTGAAATACGCCTATTTTGGGATACGGAGATTCCATATTTGGTATTTGCAATGTTGCCAGATTTTCAGTTTCTCTTATATTACTAGTAACTTTGGACTTTTTTTTCAAATGCATCACCCTGTATATTCAGTCATTATTGAAATCTCCTATTAAATACCAGTTCAACCATATGTAACACTTATGATTTTATGTAGTCTGAAAGGTCTTAAATACATAAAACAGAAGTCTGGTAACGCCTAAATTGTTTCAATACATTTTTTAATACTATTTTCAAATACATAAAAACGTAACAATTGATAGTTTAGAATATTTTTTAACATAATAGTTACGTTATTAAGTAGTCAAAATGTGCTCCATTTGTGAATTGACAGCACTCTAATCGATGGTAGAATGCGTCTACCACATTTCTCCATGATTGTCTAGTATAGAAATTATTCGAGATTCATCGATAATTCATTGCCTTAGCTATGCATGCAAGACCTGCTGGTTAAGTTTTGTAAACTGAATTTTTCAAGTATCTCTAATAAAAATAATCTTTGGGATTGAGATCGGGTGAACGTGGAGGCCATTCAATTCTACCTTGTCTACCAATTTATCGTCCGGGAAATATCTCATCTAAATAACGCCGAACATTTACACCAACTATCTGACGTTAAATTTCTTTCGATAAAAAATGGCCCAATTAAATAAGTACCTACTATAACTGACCATACATTTAATTTTTGTGGTCTTTGAGTATGGTTTTCACGCATTCAGTCTTCAGTGTGAATTTACGTCACATTACAGTTTATATGATCCATAAAAACATTACCTGACTGCCAGATTAACTTCTGCAACAAATATTTAGACTTTAGTTATAAATACAAATAGGGTCCGACGGGCCCGTGTTGCCTTAACACGGGAAGTTAGAAGGAAACGTACTTCTAAGTCAATTTTAAGAAATTATAGTTATACAAAAAATCTAAAAAGAAAGAATTAAAATAAGTAAATGATTTAATACTTACTGCTACATCCCCATAAGACCGGAAATATGGCATAATCAAACAAGGAACACACTGCTGTGATCAACACAGCTCCTAGAGCAGCTTTAGGGATAAAGAAGAAATATGGAGCCAGAAAACTTAAAGCCAGTATGATTACAGTGCCTGAAAACGTAGGATATTAAAATAGCAAAATCATATTTACATCGTATATTGATATTAATATTGTTTAAATGGTCGGTCTAATAGCCAAGTTGGCTAGGCCGATGAAGCGCTTTCACTTCATTGTGACAGATCTGGTGAATTGATAGTTTATTCCCTATTTGTAGGATCAATTTTAGCAGATAAATAGCAAAGTAGTACCTGAGTAAAGTCCCTGTAGAGGTGTTCGTACGTCACTGCTGCTAGCAACGGCAGATCTCGTGAAGGCTCCGGAACTGGGCATAGCTCGAACGAAGGAACCAAAGATGTTCGCTATTCCGAGAGATATCATTTCCTGTGAAGCATCCACTACTGAACTTGTACCTGAAATTTTTGGGCAGAGTAATTAAGAGTATGTTATATATTCTAATAAGCAAGTAGCAAATCAAGTCATAAATAAAATTTTTCTTACTATATGATTTAGCTATGGCCACATTACTAAGTACTGCCACCAAGGGCACCACAAAAACTCCACTGCCCAAAGATTGTACCATCTCGACAGTTTCTACGGTCCGGTTTCCGAAGTGAGTGCTAAGAGAAGGAAATGCCAAAACTGGAACACCTTTGGGAACATTTCCAATGATTTTGAAAGGAGTATTGCCAGTTTTACTCCAGCATCCGGCTACTATAGTAGCTAAAAGAACAACTATAGCATTTTTAGAGATAGAGAGTAACCATATAATTTTCTTAACTGTTGAGTTTTCTGTCTTGACAAATCGATTAAGGTTCTAAAACAAAAACAAGATTAACACAAAACGAACATAATGGAAACTGGACACTGTGCGAAGCGGTAAGAAGAGAGGAAGAAAGCGATTGGGATTAATAAGTATCTAGTTAAAACTAAAATGAAGAAAACTTGGACAATGACAATTATAATACAGTGTATGCAGAGATGAGTTATCAAGAAAGTAATTCCAAATACAAAAGAGATTATAGTGTAGAGGTATATATTGTAGAGATTATAAACGGGTACATTTTAAAACAGTTCCACAAGCTCAAGTATCTGGGATGTTGGATCGATTAGGGTGCTAGGGACCCTTCTTCTTTGGGTGCTTGTCTGTTTCGAACATTGGCGACCCTTCTGGCTATGATGACTGGATCAATAGCAGCCTAAATTATGATTTAGATATAAGATCAATGTAGAGAATAGAACAGGCCAGGAAATTAAAAAATCAGTAGACTGTTATGTGATTCTTAAATAAAACTCGAAATTCGACCACGTTTATCAAAATAAAACGTCTGTTCCACTCTTATCTATGCAGTTAAAACGTGGACCCTTAAAACAACGGTAAATAAAATGGAGGCCTTTGAAATGTGGATCTACCTCAAGTTTTTATGTATATCGCATACCTCAAACAAAGAAGTACTGCAGATAATAGGCAAGGAACGAAAACTTTTCAACGTACTGAAAGATAGAAAAACATTATAACTAGGCCACACACTGAGAGATAGTAAGTATAATACGCTTAACTAATAGTGAAAAAAAAGATCGGGGAGAAGAGAGAACTGGGAAGGAAAATACTATCATCGCTAAGAAACATCCAAAAATGGACAGTGCTTTTCAGCTAAGAACAGTTGTAGACAGAGAAGAGTTTGCAATTGTAGTAGCCAACCTCCATTGAGGAAAGGAAACTTTAAGAAGTAGAGAATAAGACTGTAAAGTAAAGAAGATATAATTATTAAAATTGTTACAATTACAGATGATATTGAAGATATTAAACAGAAATTTAATGGTGCATGTCATTTTAGCGGTATTAAGATGATAAATTATGTTGAGGGTATGGTTAAACAATGGGTCTACTAAATTTGGGGAAGGCATTCTGGAAGAGTTAGAATATATGTATAGTCGGTTCTTACATATTTATTGTTGACACACTTATTGTTATTTATCTTCTTCTTTTTCTTCAGGTGCCATCTCCGCTACGGAGGTTGGCAATCATCATAGTTATTTTAATTTTTGAGGCAATAGCTCTAAACAGTTGTTTTGAGCTTGTTCCAAACCGTTCTCTCAGGTTCTTAAGCCATGAAATTCGTCTTCTTCCGATGCTTCTTCTGCCATCTTTTCTTGTAATAAGAGTGGCAGAATGCCATACTTATCGCCCCACTTCACATGTTCGAGATATTGTAGCTTTCTTTCTTTAATTGTAAGTTCAACTTCCTTCTATTTACGTATTCTTCTCAGTACTTCATTGTTCGTAACTCTATCTACCCAGGAAACCCTCATAATTTTTCTATCGGTTCATATTTCAAAGGCGTTAAGTCGTCTCATTGTGTCTAGATTTAACGTCCATGATTCCACTCCATAGTATAGTACACTGTATACGTAACATTTTGTTAGGCGTACTTTAAGAGCTAATTGTTATGAAAGTATCTTTAGAAAGAGGCCACTATGTTTTATGTTAGGTTAGGTTATCTGTGTCATGTCAATTGTGAGGGTGTCAATAAATAAGTTAGTTGAAATTAGTTGAGCCTTATTTATTATGATTATATAAATATATAACATATTTGGCGACGAGTATAGTCGGATCTACGGGCCGTGGAAGTTATGGCTTTAATTGGATGGTGTGAAACCAATATTTCACAGAGCTTATAAAATGCCATATGCATTGAAACCAAAAGTAGAGAAAGAGTTAGGTAGAATGGTCAGTCTGGGTATTTTATCAAAGGTAAAGAGTAGTAAGTGGGCTAGTCCTATAGTTATTGTACCCAAAAGGAATGTAAATGAAATTAGAATTTGTGTTGTTTTTAAAAATACGTTAAATACAGTCATAGATGGAGATCACTGTGTATTACCTTTGCTTAATGATATATATGCTAGTTTAGCAGGTAGTAAATATTTTAGAGTGTTAGACTTAAAAGGAGCATACCAGCAACTTGAAATAGGGGAAGAATCGAAAGAATATTTTACTATTAACACCCACTTGGGATTGTTTAGATATAACAGGCTTACTTATGGGGTAAGCTCAGCCCCAGGTATTTTTCAAACAATAATGGACACAGTGCTGGCCAATCTCCCAAAGACTAAATGTTATTTAGACGATATTTTAATTCATGGTACAACTTTAGATGAATGTCATTTATATGTAATTAATGTTTTAAAAAAAATTAGAGGAATACAACATGAAAATAAATGGTAGTAAATGTAAATTTTATAAATCAAGTGTAGAGTTTTTGGGTCATATTATAGATGCAGGTGGTCTACATCCAACCGAAGAAAAAGTCATATGTATTAAAAATGCCGCAGCACCAGAAAATGTAACACAGTTAAAATCATATTCAGGTCTTCTTAATTTCTATGGGAAATTTATTAGTATGTTGTCTACAAAGCTTAAACCATTATATGACCTATGCAAAGCAAACACGAAATTTGAATGGACTGAGGAAGCTGAACAAACTTTTCAGCAAAGTAAAAAGTTACTAATGTCAAATGATGTATTAACTCATTATGACCCTCGTCTTCCAATTGTTATTACTTGTGATGCTAGTGGGTATGGAGTTGGAGCAGTAATAAGCCACAAAATAGATGGTGATCTAAAACCTATAATGCATCTAGTACAATATCAACAGCTGAACAGCGGTATTCTAATTTGGAAAGGGAGAGTTTAGCTATAATATTTGCCTTAAAACGTTTCCATAAATATATATATGGTCGAAAGTTTGTATTTTTGACTGATCATCAACCTTTAAAATTTATTTTCGGAAAGAATAAAAGTATTCCAGTAGCTGCAGCATCTAGAATCACTCGTTGGGCTATTATTCTATCTGTCTATGATTATGAAATACAGTATAAAAAGAGAAAGATGATTGCAAATGCTGATGGTCTATCGAGGCTTCCGATGACATCAGAAACAGAAATCTCAAGTTCTCTTTATTCTTTCAGTTTAGTTAATAGTATTCCGTTAAATTTTGAAGATATTATGAATGCTACTAAGAAAGATTTGCTAATATTAAAAGTAATAGATTATACGTTATCTGGGTGGCCTGAATCAGTATCAGATGTTTCATTGAAACCTTTTTTTAAAAGGAAACATGAATTATCAGTTGAAAATCATTGCTTACTAGCAAGAAACAAAGTAGAAAGTAGAAACAAATCCCTGGTTTTTTGCGTAATAATATCTTATCCCTATTTCATGAACAGCATTTAGGAGTAGTACGAACAAAAATGCTAGTTAGATCTTACTGTTGGTGGCCTAAGTTAACAGATGATATTGAAAATTTTATTAACGTATAATGTTAACGAAGCTATATATGTAAAGAATAAATTAACCAAGTTATGGTCCAGGGGTAAGATAGTACGAGTTGTAAGTGCGTCAACATAATTTGTACAAATAGGGGAAAATATAAGTTTTGTACATGCTAGTGATATTCGTAAATGTAAATTTGAGGAAGATACCTATACTGAACAAAAACCGATAGTTTCCACTACTGAAAAAGTTGTAAATGATTCTGGGCAAGAATCAGTTACAAATGGAAACCCTAATAATGTAATGTCGAGACAAGTATCAGTAACAAATGAAACAGTAGAGAGTCCTATTAGTAATAATATGAATGAATTCAATGATTTTAATGAAAATACTGAAAGAATCTTTGATAAAACTGAGGTCAGACTTTCTACTACTCCAAAAGTTACTGCTACTCGTTCAGGTAGAGTAATTAAAGCTCCTACCAAATTAAATTTGTAACATTTGTTTATTAATTATTTTCTTTACTTTTTTAAGCGGGGCAGATTGTTATGAAAGTACCTATAGAAAGAGGCCACTACGTTTTATGTTAGGTTAGGTTATCTGTGTCACGTCAATTGTGAGGGTGTCAATAAATAAGTTAGTTGAAATTAGTTGAGTCTTATTTATTATAATTATATAAATATATAACACTAATGTTAAATCTTTGCCAAATAGGACCATTTTCATTTTCATAAAATTAAAAAGTGCTTTTTCGATTCTGACTTTGATTTCTGCAGTGTAGTCATTATTTTCTGTTATAAGTGTTCCTAGGTAAGTGGACTTTTTTACTCTTTCGATCTGCTGGCCCTCTACTATCAAGATTTTGTTTATGAGTCTTTCCAGGTCTTGTAAACTATCGGCTATTATTACTGTATTATCTGCATATCTGATGTTATTAACTAAGACTCCATTCACTCTTATCCCGACTGTTTCATCTGGAATTACCTTTTCAGAATAAGCGTTAAATAATAGAGGTGATAATATGCAGCCTTGCCTGACTCCTTACTTTATTTCCATGTCTTCCGATGTCTCTTTTTTAATTCGTACTATTGCTCGCTGATTGTAATAAAGGTTTGTGATCATCTCTGTGTTAGCACGTTGAAGGAGAATAATGCCTCTCTGGTACCCATACAATTGCGGAACCCATATTGTATGCTTTATAACTCATTAAGTTTATGGTTCGATAGTTACTGCACTCTATGGCATTCACTTTCTTTGGCAAACACACAAATGTCAACATTTCTCTAGGGATGATTCCCATAGTATAGATATCGTTGAACAGTTCTATTATGTCTAGGTTTTTCTCGTTGGCTAACTTTAATAGCTCGCTTGGTAATTCATCTGGACCAGCAGATTTATTGGTTTTCATTGAGTTTAATGCCTGACTAACCTCTGATTTGGTTATCTCTGGGCCTACATCTCCCGTTAGGCTATCTACAGATGTACTAGCTTCTCTCATACATAATATTTCCACTTTTGTCAAGCAATATATTTGAGGTTCTTCTATTTGCCTACTCCGGCTAGTTTACATTAACTATCACCGTGTAATCCAGAAAATATCACCGGCCGAGTAATTCAGAAAACTTTAAATAATTTAAAGTTTTCTGAAAGGTCAATCAACCTTTTTTTATATTACGTATTTTGTTTTATTTAAACCAAATTTAAAGCAATTTTCTGTGGAATGTGAAATCTTCAAGATCGGGTGATTATTAAGAAGAATATAACCGAAATGCATTTCACTAGCTATGGTAGGGTCTTAAATAAAATTAAAATTTCCAAAACATCTACAAAAATGATTAACCAAAACCAACAATATAAGTTATTAAGTGAAGACTGTTAAGCTTATTGTGTGTATTGTCGGAATTACTTTGTTAAATTTTTATGACTTACCTTAAAAAATAGAAGTACAACAATGCAAGTTACTCCCAGGAGAGTATCAGGAATCCTTATTTCTTTGTACTTTTGAAACAATTCTTTCGTTACCCCAACAAATTCGTGAGAATGGATATTGATTCCCAACAAGTTTTTTAACTGGTTGGATATGATGATGATGGTACTGGCAGACGTGAACCCTGACGTAAGGCATGGTGATATGAAATCGACCAGAAATCCTGATAAGTAAAAAAAATGTAATAAATATTAGAAATTATATAATGTTAGAAAATGAAGATATTTTTGGAAATATTGTTGCGATATAAATAAACCAACATCTTGGTTATCTAACATCAAATAGCTCCAATTTCTTAAGTTTTTTATAGTATATTTTAATTTTATAGGGTTCTATAGGTTGAAACATCGAAATATGACAGCAAAATTATCAAAAGCCAAAATAGGTACGTAAAACGTCAAAAGCATTTATCAGCCTGCTAAAATGTATAACATCCTTTAAAAAATGAGAAGAATAAATATATTAGGTGTAAGCGAAACATGGTGGCCTAACTCAGGATACCGTTTGACAGAAACCGCTACCTTATATTACTCGGGAAACATTGACAACCAGCAAAGACGTTGACTAGCAATTATTGTCAATACAGAGGTCAACAAGTCAATAGAGAGTTTTGTCCCAATCTCAGAAAGAGTGATTCTGCTACAAATAAGAACATCACACACAAAACTAAATTTGATCCAAGTATATGTAACAAACTCCAACAGAAAATATGAAAAATATGAAAACTTTGATAAATTACATACTAACACCTACGAGATAAACCAACAATGGGAAACATTAAAAAACTGCCTCCTCGTTGCATGTAAAGAGATATTAAAAGAACTAATAAGAAAGAGATACAACTGGATGACTGACAAGCCAAGAACAAAGACAGTCACAATTACAAAATCATTAACAATGAAATCAGAAAAATGATAATAGAGGCAAAAAAACTAGTATGAGGAAAAATTTAAAGAGATAAAACATCTTCAGAACAAATATGACGTATTCAACTTACATAAAAAGGTTAAAGAAATGGCAGGTTGCAAAAAAGAAACCACAACACAACTCTTTTAGATAAAAATGGAAATACCATGATATCGACTGACGAAAAGCTAAAACGATGGAAAGAATATATGGAAGAGCTCTTCGACGACGAAAGAGAAAACCTACAAGACGTATCTTTCGAAAACAGAGAAACAGTTATAGAAATTACAAAGGAAGAAATATTGTATGCACTAAAGAACACCGGAAACGGAAAAAGCCCGGAGCCAGATCAACTGATTATTGATATCTCTTAAAGCTCTTTAATGAAATTTATCAGTCGGGTGACATATCAAATTAATGGTTGACCTCAACATTTATTTTAACACCCAAAAAAGAAAAATTCTAGAGAATGCACCGACCACCGCACCATAAGCCTTAATGTCTCACACACTTAAAATGTTTTTAAAGATCATCCATAAACGCATTTACTAAATACTTGATATGGATATTGAAGAAGCCCAATTTGGATTCCGTAGAGGCGAATAAAGATATGTACGTCTCTTTCATAGATTACAACAAGGCTTTCAATAAAGTCCGCCACAAAGAGCCATTGGACGTCCTTAAAGCAAAAAAATTACAATACAATGTCCTTCGAATTATAACAAATCTAAAATTTTAAACAGCAGGCACACATACGCATTAAAGAACACACATTACAAGAGTTAGAAATTAAAAGAGAAGTGCGACAGAGGTGTGTATTATTACCGTTACTATTCAATGCATAGCCTAAAGAAATTATTAAAAGAGCTCTTGAGAGAGAAACAGCAGGAATAAGGGTCAATGGAACACCAATTAACAACATTAGATATACGGACGATACTATCATAATAGCAGACAACTTCCAAGACCTTCAAAAGCTAATAAATAGTTGATTATGGAGAAGAATATGGATTATCAATATCAAGAAAACTAAATTTATGAGGATATCAAGAACTCAAAATAATGATAAAGCCTGACAATTAACGCTAAAACTTAGAATAAGTTGAAAACTACCGATAGTCCGAAAGTCGATAAAAATGCACTGACCTAATCGGTGCATTGTTATCGATTTTTATTAATGTGAAAAATTTTTTGTGGTTGAATTAAAAATAAAAGCGTATTTCTTTAAAAAGATAAAATAAAAAATATACTCTTATTGAAAATTAAAATATTATTCCTAATAAAATAAAAAATAATTCTTTATGACCTACAGAAATAATTCGAATAGTTGACCTTCTATGGCTGAACAGTACCCCAATCTGTTATAAAAACTTCTGCGAACAGATGAAAGAGTTTCTGCTGTAACAGAATTGGAGACTTCTCTTATTCGATTTTTTAATTCATCCAAATTTTGGGCTCCAGCGTCAGGATGAGCGTAGATAATGCTTTTTAAATGTTCTCAAAAAAAGTCCATGGGTGTAAGATCTGGAGATCGTGCAGGCCACTTAATATCGCCTGTTCCACTGATAACTCGATTCGGGAAAGTATTGTTTAAATACTCCAGATTGTTAACCAGATGGTTAAAAACCAAACATTCTCCAGATTTACATCAGGAAGATTGAGAATAGCGGGAAGAACATGATTCTGTACCAAATCGAGGTATACTCTACTATTCAAGTTGCCCTCAATAAAAAAATGGACCTATTATGTGGTCTCCTAAAATGCCAGTACAGACGTTAACTTTTTGAGGACGTTAAGTTCGGTAAACAACACTTCTGTGCTGGTTTTTCCGCGCCCCATACCTCGTAATGAAAGGATTGTGTCTCCCTACTAACGAAACAGAAGATTCATCAGTGAATAAAATGTTTTTAATAAAATTTGGTTCACTATTAGCCTTCGTTATTAGAGTTTCACAAAACTCCATTCTTCGAAAGTAATCGTCTGGATAAAGCTGCTGCGTTTTCGAATATTTAAAATTCTTGTAACCGTGCTTTTTCCATACTTTCGTTACAGTAACATTGCTAACATCTAACTCTCTAGCAACGCTTCTACTTGAACGTGTTGAATCTACCTCGATTGTTGCACAAATTTGTGTATCCCGGTATTCTCTTTCCTCAACTTTTTCTGGTAACACTTCTTGAGCGTGACATTTTCTGCAATTTTTGAGGCAATAACAACTCTCAAAATTTTTAACAATATTATAAATTGACTGTACACAAGGAATTGGTCTTCCCTCAAAAAACACAGAAAATAAATCTACACACTGTTGCGCAGAATTGCCACTATAAAACCATTTTATTTTTTGAGCTTTTTCCGCGGCCATATAAACAGACATGTTTACAAAAATAAATTAAAACTCTACGCTGTTATACCTTTAAACAACCACGGTATAATGACAATATGACAAATTTGCCGACGGGCGACGAGCAACGACGAGTCAACGAAGCAGATATGTAGTGGCAAGTCGACGACGTGCAGTGTTGCCATTTATAGAGTGTATACCTAATCCAAAACTTAACGCACTGTATAACAAACAACGAAGTCATGAGAAGAGTCAAAAAGAATGGAAATATTGGAAACCATCAAGACACGAAAGCTGCAATAGCTGGGGCATGTTATGCGTATTGACATAAGTAGATAGGTAGCCACTTAAGCGCACTTTTTTCCCCAGATTCTGGGGAAAAACCGCTCGCGCCTTATGGAGAATATGGTAAATTTCCCCAGACTCCTGACCCAGATTTCCCCAGATTTCACCTAACCTTACCATCACCGCGAGGTGGCGTCAATTCTTCTTCTTTTACGTAAAGTCAATTCTTTTTCTTATATGTGACGTCAATTCTTCTTCTTATACGTGACGTCAATTCTTCTTCTTTTACGCAACGTGTAGATAGCGTCAATTCTTCTTTTACGTGAGTATACAAATTATATACGAAACCTAAGTCAATTCTTCTTCTTTTACGTGACGTGAAGGTAGCGTTATATACGAAACCTAAGACAGAGACCAAGAAACGAATACATAAAGTATAAAAATAAAATAAAAGACAGAGACATGTACAAGTATTGTTTATTTACATTACATTCGTACCAAAAAGCAGGTCTTTATAAGCTTCCTCCATCTTTAGTAAGTGATTAGGATATGCCAGAATGCGTAGGAGAAATAAACATATCTTAAAATTTTAATTATATATAAATACACGTTTTAAACCTTTATATTAAAAAAGAAAGAAAGAGACCAAGAAACGAATACATAAAGTATAAAAATAAAAGACAGAGACATGTCACGTATAAGAAGAAGAATTAACATCACGTATAAGAAGAAGAATTAACGTCACTTAAAAGAAGAAGAATTGACGCCGCCCCGCGGTGATGGTTAGGTTAGGTGAAATCTGGGGAAATCTGGGTCAGAGGTCTGGGGAGATTTACCATATTCTCCATAAGGCGCGAGCGGTTTTTCCCCAGAATCTGAGGAAAAAAGTGCGCTTAAGTGACTACCTATCTACTGACATACAACCTATTTCAATTAATTATACAAGGGAAAATCCAGGGCAAGAGAAGTGTAGAAAGGGGAAGAAGCTCATGGTCAAGTAACTTAAATAAATGGTATGGGTGCACATCAATCGAACTATTCAGAGCGGCAGCATCTAGGATCAGAATAGCCAATTTATTTGGGCAGTAGAAACTTACCTAATTTTAGTATTCCCATAAGCAGTTCCACACATCCAGCTATAAAGGCCAGTAGAATAACACATTCTATAGGTTTTCCAACTGTGTAGGAAAAAGTTAAGAGTGACATCAAACTGGTTGGTCCAATCGAAACCTAGAAATGATAAAAATGTATCCATATTATTCAACTGTCTTCTTGGTTAGAATTTCACTTTTTTCGGTTTTTTATTTTTTTTTTTTCTTTTTCTTGAATCAATTAATCAATAAGTTTATAACGTTCTACGCCGTCTTCTGATTTCCAGTCTCCATTTATCTCTGTCGTTCCAGAGGTTTTCTTCAACTCCTCTTCCTTAAGTCTTTATCGATTCCTTCTCTCCAACTTAACCTCGTTCTATCTTGCTTTTTTCTTCCACGCTGTGTCCAGTTCAATACTTTCTTTTGTATTCTGTCTTGGTCCATTCTTTGAACGTGTCCATACCATCTTAAATTATTTATTTTGAAATCTTCTGTTATATTGTGCTTAACACCCAAAATTTCTCGTATTCTTTCGTTTCTAACTCTATTTAATCTTGTTTTTCCAGCCGCTCTTCTTCAGAAGTCTATTTCTGTTGCTTCTAATGCTTTTATGTTTTTTCCTTTCAGTGGCCATACCTCACTTCCATATGTAACAATGCTTTTTATGATGCGGTTATAGATTTTGTGTTTGTTTTCTTTGGGGATTGTTTTGTCCCACTGTACACTGTTTAATTGCCTAATGGCTTGTCTTTCCTGGTTATTTATATGTTTAATTTCTTTGTCTAATTTGCCATCGTTGATTATTTGCATGCTTAAATATCATTATTTTTGACAGTGATTTATTTCTCGCTGTATTTCTTTCAAGATTAGATTTTGTTTAATATCCCCAATACACATATATTCAGTTTTCTTAATATTTACTTCTAGTCCCCATAGTTCGTATTCTTCGATAAGTTTACGGGTCATATATTCGAGGTGTTCATAGTCTTGGGCCATCACTATCTGGTCGTCTGCAAAACTCAATGTGTATAATATTGCGTCATTTAGAGGAATTCCCATGTTTCTGCATTTTGTTTTTCACGTCTTTATCGTTTGCTCCGAGTAGATCTTAAACAAAGTAGGCGACACCAAGCATCCTTCTTTGAGTCCTTTGCTGATAGTGAAAATCTTGAATACCTATGGAGCTTTCTTTATTTTACTTGTGTTGTTCTTGTAGAGGTCTTAAACAGCCTTGACTGAGGTTACACTAATATTTGTTTTCTCGAGAGCTTCCCAGAGTTTTTGTTGTGGCACACTATCATAAGCTTTTTGAAGGTCCACGTAGAGGAGATGTATTGGTTGATTTCCTGCTACTATTTTTCGATTAGCTGGGTATCAGTAAACAGATGGTCAATAGCTGATCTACCTGCTGTAATGTCGACATCGGCCTCCATATCACAGAATTCATCTTCCGTTCTCTTATTGATGAATTTCCCGTAAACTGTCGAGATGGTGCTAAGGACTGCGAGTTCTCGATAAGTTTCATATACATTTTTACTTCCCTTCTTATTTATTATCGTGATAAACAATGTGCTCCACTCCTCCGGTATATCCTCTCCGTTAATACGTTTTTGGTAAAGTCTGGCTAGCTGCTTATATAATTTTCTTGTACCGTACTTGAGTAGCTTAAGTGGAATATTGCCAGGGTTTTGGTGATTTTCTATTCTTTAATGCTTGGCGTACTTGTGCTACTTCTTTGTCGTCAATCCTAATTGGGGAAGCTATTGTATGTACTTGCATCTCGGATTGTATTTGAGGTGTTTGTAAATATTCTGCCTTTTTTTCCGCCAGTAGATTTGCTACTTTATTCATTCCATTTATCTAGGCTGATTGGTGAGATAATATCTTTAGTCTGATCTTGTTGAAGCGATTGCAGTATTTTCCAGCTTTCGGTGTCATTCATTGTGTCAATTAGTCATTCATTTTTAATATCATCATTAAGTTTTGAATGGTAATATAACCGCGCCACTGATCGCCAATGTTTTGAATCAATTCAATGTTTAAATATATATATATATATATATATATATATATATATTATATATATATATATATATATATATATATATATATATATATATATATATATATATATATTCGTATGAACTTTACACATTGCAGTTTACATAAAGAAAAGGAAGAAAAAAAGTGGCAATAACAATAATAAATAAGTAAGTAAATAAGTAAACACTGACACAGAACATATAAAATTAAAATTTTTAAAATTAAAGTCGAAGGTTACATCCTCGAAGCCAATTAGTCGCCTTGGGAGTAAGTTGGTGGATTTCTTGAAGGCTGCCAAAGAACTTGGTGGCTGGACACTCGAAGACGATGTGGTTAATTGTTTGTTCAGCGGCGCTGCATTTGTCACATTCCGGGCTGGCATTTATACCCCATTGATTCAGCGATTTGTTACAAATTCCATGACCAACTCGTATTCTATTTAGGTTGCACCATTCACGACGGGGAAGAGAAATGCCGTCTGGTTTGATTGTGGGGTTTTCTATCAGATTGGAATTTCTGATGTCTGGATTCCATTTGCCCATCCAGTGCTCTTCGGTAGTGAAAACAGCCAATTTTGTAGCAGTTCTAGTAGGTGGATGTCTGGATTTCAGTCTTAACTGCCTTTGGTGTAGTTCAGCGATGTCTGTGTTTATCGGTAGTTCTGGGTTTTGTTGGCATTTTTGAACTAGAGTGTTGAGTGCGGCTAGTCGTTTTGTTGCTGGTGGAGCGATGTTGCTTAGAACTGGAAGCCACTGGGTTGGTGTGGGCTTTATAGTTCCCGTTATGTGCCTCATTGTTTGATTTAACTGGGTATCTAAATATGGGGTGTAAAGCTAGTTCGCGTCCGTAGTAGAATACTACACGTGCACCCTGGGTAACGCTAAATGAACTAGCAACAATAGAACCGCCAGACCTGTCTCTCGTAGATCTCAATATTTCTTAAAAGAAAAACCTTTAGCGTGTTTTGTTAGTGTTGACTTACGGAGTGGAAACGTTGACCACGACAAGGAGAACACTCCAAAAGTTCCGTGTGGTTCATACCGCCAGCTACGACGAAGTTAATGAGTGTCTAATGCTGTAGAGAGAATGCAACACTGCAGTAGAACTTGGTAGGTCACATTGCTTGAATGACAGATAAACATTCGACATAGCAGATACTGGAATAAAGACTAAGACATAATGCTTGCCGAGGTAGAAGTCGTCCATAGAGATACAAAATGTTGCCGTAGGAATTGAACACAAGGGGCATAAGATCAGAACAGATGGAAAATCGAATGGAAAAGCAAAGATTGAATGATATTATCATTATATGATCCGCTCGCGTTATCTACTCATTTGACGTAAAACTTGGTGGTCAAATTCAAATTGGTTGTGTGAGCAGTCCAAGATATTTGCAAAACTCGCCGATAAGGCCACATTTAATTGCCTCGTGTCCATTAAGGCTGCTAATTTTTAGTGACCACGCTTCTATCCCATGCCAAGTATGGAAGTATTTAACAAAATTATATCTTATTTGGATATCGAGCGATCTATTGCCTTGGAGGCATTTTTACAAAGTTTATGTGGCTATTTCAATCCGAGTTATGATTTAAAGTCTAATCAAGTCAAGATTAAATTGTCATCGATCGAGCTACCTAAATATTCAAGCTTGTAAACTTTAGTCATTTCTTTTCCGTATACATTATGCTTTTGGATGGTTATACAGTATGGTGTACTGGTTGATTTGAATTTCAATTTTCTACTAATATCTTGGTGTTAAATTTCGGTATCAATTTTTAAGTCCTAATAGATTTCCTTCAGCTAATATTTTGTTAAGTGTCGCTTCTCTGTATGTTTTTTGACTTTTTCTTCTGTTTTTTAATATGATAATAAACTTGATGATAATATTTCGTACGTTTATCTATTTAATATTTTTTATTTTATATAACATTTTTAAGTTTTTACATTTCTATATATAATGCCTCCACTGAACGATAGATGTGTCCAGATGTGTGCTCAATACAAGCTGACCACACATCTGGACACATCTATCGTTCAGTCTGTGTTAATTCACGAGAGACGCAATATCTGACGTCCGCACCGAATCTCTTTGATCTGTGCTAAAAAAACCGACAACAATCGGATATCATGCAGAGGCATCCGCAAACGTCATATATAAACAACATATGATCAAATTACCCCATCTGCACATCTCCAGATGCATACAGAGATAAAAAAAAAGAGGTTAATCTTTGTAAATGGGTATATTTATTTAAAAAACCCTTAAAAGGGCCACATCAATAAAACAAACGTTTTCGGACCACACAGTCCATCATCAGGTTATTAAAATCGAAAATGCCTAAAAATAAGTATAAACCATTTAGTTAAAACAAACGAGATTTTGAAATTTTGACTATGGTTGAAAAGCAAAAGATGGTTATACTTACTAGGTCATAATGCCTGAGCCACCAAAATATTAGGGTAAAAACCCTTTAAATTACATTTAGTTAAGAAATGTTGTACATTGTGTTATAAAATAACTGTGATGTTCAATATTAAATTAAATTTGACTAAAGGTAACACATGGCTCAATTGGGTTCCAGAGCCGGGTGAGAGGGAACCTCTGCACTCGGAGAACAACGTGGAACTGATTGACAAGATACTTTTGAAGGATGAAGAAAACAGAATGTCAATGCAACAAAAACTATAAAAGTTGTACATAGTATTACTACAGCCAAAAGATTCAACAAGTTTTGATGATTTTAAAAAATAACAACAATCTAGGTGTTGGGATTTAAAAACTTTTTATTTATTAATTTAGGGTATAAAAGATGTCAAATCAATGATGGTTTTATAGTCATGATTAATATAATGACCTGTGCCTTAGGCAACTTATGTTGCTTTTCGTCGTATGGAATGTGGTCTAAAGTGTATTTAATTTTGGGTTAGCTTGTATTTATGAAATTTATCCTTTTATGTTTAACACATCTAGGACAAGGTAAAAATGAAATAACAAATATTTGAAGCTAATATCAGACCTCATATTTAAATGACTTTATTTAAGAATGCTCCTATGGTGAAAAATTAATAAAATTAAGTTTCGGGACTTTGAAAGAAATGTGGGTATTCTCAACAGATCTTTTTAGGATGTATCTAAGATCTCCAGAAAGACGTTCTTGAAGGTAAGGCAAAGAAAAATAATGAGTTTTGATGGTCAAGTCTTTGGGAAACGCAGTCTCTCTTAATAGTTTGAGTTGTCTCTTATTTATAAGTTTGTTAATGATATTGGGGTCATATCCATTGTTGAATGCTATTTGTTTAAGGGTGTTAACTTCTGCATGATAGTTGGATTGTGATAGTGGAATTGTTAATAATCGGTGAATGTAACTATGGAATGCTTGCATATTATTTTTCTTTGCCTTACCTTCAAGAACGTCTTTCTGGAGATCTTAGATACATCCTAAAAAGATCTGTTGAGAATACCCACATTTCTTTCAAAGTCCCGAACAATCTAGGACAATGCTTAACCAATACAAAAGATCCCATCAACTACATGGATCGTAGTGGTGTTTATAAATTACAGTGCTCTGATTGTGATGCTACATATATAGGTAGAACCTGTAGATCACTAACTTCTCGTTCCTTAGAACACACTATAAAAGAGAACACTTCCACCTTCTCTCAACATCTTGCACAACATAAACATACCCTCAACATCCCAGAAGACGTCTCTTTGTTACATAATATTCCCCAAAAAAATTTTCTAAAATTAGATCTATATGAAGACTTGGAAATAGTTAAAGAAAAACAAAATAGCCCCAATTGTGTTAATCGCCATGTATCTTTCAACCGTGACTTTCAACCTTTACATCGTCAACTTTTTTCATAGTCCACACTTCACAATACTGTCCTATTTTCTTTGCCTTAATTTCCTATACAAACGTCAACACCTTATTCCTACATAATCTTGTGGTTCTTCAAACACCCATTTTATACAATATCGTCACACCTTCCTCTCACAAATTTCTGACCCCAATTTTAACTTCAGAACCATCCACATCCGTCATACCAACATTTCACTATCTTATCCACTCTTCACTTCTACATCGTTTTCCTGTTAATTCTGTTCTCTTTCATTATTTCTTGGTCAATTCATATATTAAACATGTATCCAATAGTTTTAATTTAGTAATCACTCAAACATTGTCTAACAATTTATTAAAATTCATAATCTACCATATTACAAAGAATCCTAATCTACCTTTGTCCACCTTCTTTCGGTCAACAACTTAGTAGCACACTTATACAACAAATTTCAGGTTTCTACAAACTGAATTTAATACCACCTAAATAGATTTTGTTCAGGGTGCTAGATACTTTAAGTATAAAGGACCCCTATTATCTCTAATTGTTGATCAACTCCTTTTCTCCCTCAACCCCCCCCTCCTTTTCTTCGGTCATTTCTTTTACTTTCATTCTCATTAGTCTCTGAGGAACCCAGTCTCTTCAATTTTAAATTCAATCACATATGTTACTACTTCAATTTCTTCAGCCTGTAGATTTCCATCTTACTAAACTTAATTTTATTAATTTTTCACCATAGGAGCATTCTTAAATAAAGTCATTTAAATATGAGGTCTGATATTAGCTTCAAATATTTGTTATTTAATTTTTACCTTGTCCTAGATGTGTTAAACATAAAAGGATAAATTTCATAAATACAAGCTAACCCAAAATTAAATACACTTTAGACCACATTCCATACGACGAAAAGCAACATAAGTTGCCTAAGGCACAGGTCATTATATTAATCATGACTATAAAACCATCATTGATTTGACATCTTTTATACCCTAAATTAATAAATAAAAAGTTTTTAAATCCCAACACCTAGATTTTTGTTATTTTTTAAAATCATCAAAACTTGTTGAATCTTTTGGCTGTAGTAATACTATGTACAACTTTTATAGTTTTTGTTGCATTGACATTCTGTTTTCTTCATCCTTCAAAAGTATCTTGTCAATCAGTTCCACGTTGTTCTCCGAGTGCAGAGGTTCCCTCTCACCCGGCTCTGGAACCCAATTGAGCCATGTGTTACCTTTAGTCAAATTTAATTTAATATTGAACATCACAGTTATTTTATAACACAATGTACAACATTTCTTAACTAAATGTAATTTAAAGGGTTTTTACCCTAATATTTTGGTGGCTCAGGCATTATGACCTAGTAAGTAGGTATAACCATCTTTTGCTTTTCAACCATAGTCAAAATTTCAAAATCTTGTTTGTTTTAACTAAATGGTTTATACTTATTTTTAGGCATTTTCGATTTTAATAACCTGATGATGGACTGTGTGGTCCGAAAACGTTTGTTTTATTGATGTGGCCCTTTTAAGGGTTTTTTAAATAAATATACCCATTTACAAAGATTAACCTCTTTTTGTTATACGTGGTATACAGCCAGCTACAGGAATTTTTCCTTGTGGATTTTGCATACAGAGATGTTGTCCGCGGATGCGTCTGCCGATGTGTAGAGGAGCCATAATATATATTATATTATAAAAATATAATAAATATTGTAAATAAAAATATAATTTTACTTACTTCTTTAATAGTTCCAACAAAAATATACGTAAATGATCCAATAAACGCTGTATATAATCCATATTGGGCAGGAAGGCCAGCCAAGCCAGCGTAAGCAATCGATTGAGGCATCATGGTCAGTCCCACCGTTAGACCAGCTATTAAGTCAGCCAGAATATCATTTTTAGTGTATTTGGGTAGCCATTGTAATATGACTAGTCGCTGAAATAGAATATCCTTTACCTTGGTGCCCAAGGAACGGTCGGAGTCTGTTTGTTTTCCCACTAAAATGATAAATGGATTAATCCAATACTTATTTATTAATTGCCAATAACTTTTAATTGCACAAATCTAAGTAATGATAGAAATGTTACACTCACAGGATTTTAGGAACTAAATGTAATACATGAAAAAAATTGTAAAACAGAAAAAAATGAAATCATTAAAAGAATATGCTCGACAAGAAAAATAAAGACTAGCTATATTGTTATGTTTTAATCTACACACTTAGAAAACTTACTTTTTTATCACCTCAGCTCCCGTATACTAAATTACATAAATTTTTTCGCTCCAATTAAATACAATCTTCAAAAATAATTTACAGGTACCTTATGTTTACCTATTTATACTCGTAAAACGATATAAAATTCTGAGATGCTAAAATATATAGGTGCAGACGATAAACAGTATGCGTTATATATATTTTTAAATAAAATTGGAAGGTACATAGTATATTAATTAAATATAATATTTTCCAACCTTATCAAAAAATACTTTTCAAACATGGGTTTTTTGATAAGTAATACTATTTTAAACAAAACTTTTCGCAAAAGTGATAATTATGAAAACAATAAAAACACTGTAACACATTCAATATAGGGTCTTGGAATCTGAAAATTTCTGGAAAAATTTACTATACAAGATGCCACACTATCACAATAAATATATATATATATATATATATATATATATATATATATATATATATATATATATATATATATATATATATATATATTGTGGTAGTATATTGTGGGCCAAATAGACCGACTGCATCCTCAAGAATCACCACTTAATACATCTACGCCTATGGTGGTTTTAAAATTTTTGTTGATATTCATTCTAGAGCGTTTTTAATTGAAAATGATAACAAAATTGAATAGTTCTTGTATGATTTTGGTCACATTCAACTGATTAGCGTATTTACACATTATTTCAGTCTTTGTTTAAATTTAAGTTGAGCCGTTAAAAATGCCTAGAAACGTGATGTCTGATTTTAACAGATCTATAGTAATTGCTTTGTTTCAACAGGGGTTTAGACAAAGTTATATCGCGAATATTGTTGATGTTACTCAGAGTGCTGTATCGAAAATTTAAAAAAAAATTCCAAGATACAAATGACGTCAAGGATCGTCCCAGAAGTGGTAGAAGTCGATGTACAACAACAGCACAAGACCAGCAAATAACATTTATAGCTCGTCGAAATCGTCTGGAATCTACAAGTGGTATATCCAGAGAAATTTCTAGGCTTCAAGGACTGAATATTTCACGACAAACAATAACACTCAGACTTAATGCGGTAAATTTGTATCGTAGAAGACCGCTACGTGTTCCTAAACTAACCTACCAACACAAAATAGTAAGGTTGTAATGGGCTAGAGAAATGGTGCATCATGGTCCTAACTAAAATAAGGTGATGTCCTCTGATGAGTGAAAATACTGGCTTGGTATCTGATTCGCGAAGAACACTGGTTTGGAGGGCCCCAGGACGACAAGCCCGACTAGAAACAGCCCAACCGCGTGTCCCATATGAAGGTGGCAGTATTATGGTTTGGGGTGGTATTATGAGTGGTACACGGACGCCACTGTTGGTTCTGGAGAGAAGAGTCACTGGTGCTGTGTATATCGAGGAAGTTTTAAATCCTGTCATATGTCTATTCCGAGGGACAGTAGGTGATTAATTTGTGTTTATGCATGACAACGCACTTCCTCATCGAACAGCAGCAGTACTAAATTTTCTGGAAGAAGAAGGAATATCTACATTACAGTGGCCCTCGAATTCCCCCGACATGAACCCTATTGAACATGCTTGGGACATTCTCAAAACACGCATCAAGAAGCGAAACAATCCTCCTATTACACTTCGAGAACTAAAAGATGCTGCTCGTGAAGAATGGGAAAGAATTCCGCAAGCACAGCTCGACCAGTTAATCGTCAGCATGTCAAATCGCCTACAGTCATGCATACAGGCCAATGGAGGAAATACTAATCATTAGTTTTATGCAAAATTTATTTTTTTCTATACTAATTTATTTTTAAATGTAAGTTGTACATTCTAAGTTTTTCACTCCAAAAGAATAAATAATTTTTTGCATATCGTTTATCTGGTTTTGAGATTTATTTGATATTGTTGAGAATTAAAACAAAATGATGTTTAACTATTCAAAAGAGTTTCTATATAAAATTTAATTAAAAAAAGAAAAATTCCAATATTCCAAACTTTTGGACAGATGTATATATATATATATATATATATATATATATATATATATATATATATATATATATATATATAATATAAAATTAGTGTTTCTTGGGTTTAGGTTCAATAAAGATATATTATATGTGGAACTAGATTTTATTTTCCATAACAATTAACGTTTCGGCAGGAAATCCTTGGCTTTGTCAAGATTCTAAAATGTTTATGTATAAGGACAAACAGATATTGTAAAATATGTATATATATGACTTACAAAAACATAAAACATGACACATACATTAACGAGCTGACAATTAAAAGTTGATAAAACATGAAAGTGAGAAGAAGCATAAATTTGATTTTGAAAACATAAAAATTTTAAAAACAGAACAAAACAAAAAGAAGAGGGAGATATACGAATCAATAGAAATAAAAAGAAATATCAACGCTATAAATGACAAAAAAGATACACAAAACCTAAATAAAATATATTTCAATCTAATTTAAATAATAATAATAAACATCATACCAAGCTCTTAAAGTCATAACATATCTCCACTTTACCTTTTTCGAAAACATCAATGATACGCCTCTATAAAAATAATTATATACTAATGACAGTAAACCATGAGATATCAGATATCAACTTTTAATTGTCAGTTCGTTAATGTCTGTGTCACGTTTTACGTTTTGGTAAGGTCATATATATATATATATATATATATATATATATATATATATATATATATATATATATATATATATATATATATATATATACATATTTTACAATATCTGTTTATCCTTATACATATACATTTTAGAATCTTGACAAAGGCAAGGGTTTCCTGCCGAAACGTTGATTGTTATGGAAAATAAAATCTAGTTCCACATATAATATATCTTTATTAAACCTAAACCCAAGAAACACTAATTTTATTAGGAGGAAGGCATCAGAGAGGATGCCAAAAGCTCGGCAAAATGGATATCGACGCGGTTCAACCCGGAAGACTGGTGAGTTTGATATTAATTTTAGTAATAATATTAATCTTAGCTCTAGGTTTTATATATATATATATATATATATATATATATATATATATATATATATATGTCAACTATCAAAAACGCTTTCTTTTTGTTTTGTTTCCAGACGAAATTCTAAACATAATTGTCATGGAAAATAATCGGAAGACTCAAGCGTATTACGATAAATGGAATAGTGAAAACACAAATAAAACTAAAGTGTATGTTTGCGTTAATTCTATATAGAATCAAGCCTTTATTGAAATATTGCTTATATTTGGAGCTTTTCATGGATCGAAAGAGGCGATCAATATGCTTTGGTGTGACGATATTGCTTACTGCCGTCCTATAATACCAGCTGCTATGTCTATATGAAGAACAAACCTAACAAGTGCGGATTAAAGATATGGGCACACATGGACTGCACTACTTCTTTTATTGTAAAAATGCAAATTTATTTGGGTAAGTTTTTGAATTGACAATAAGAAAATAAGCAAAAATTTAAATATATTAATTTTTAGGAAAACAAGGTCCTAATGCGGAAAAAGCTTAAAGCCAAAGAGTTGTCCTAGACTTAATAGAACATTTGGAAGGAGAGTTTGGAATAACAACTGACAATTTTTTACGAGTTTACAACTTGCGGATAAGTTATGGGAAAAAAATATAGCTCTACATGGAACTCTTAGAAAAAATAAACCCTTTATTCCAAGGGAGCTTCTACCAGCATCATATAAAACAGATTATTTAAGTATGTTTGCTTTTAAAAAACATACTTGAATACACGCAAAATCAGAGTTTCTGTACATTATACAAATAGTAAAATAGTATGTAGTTGTTATTTAGTCTGTTAGCGTGTAACCTCGGAAATCTTTTTTGGATGGTGCTAGAAAGATAACCAATGGAGACACTGCGGACGGCAGCCAGATGGTTGGTGGAGAGCGAGTCGTGGGTTCGAAACTAGCTTTTGGAACCGGGAATGGATCCAACGGACGAAATAAGTAAAGATAGTATAAGAGATATTAGAAAAGATATAGAAATAAACAAAAAGATGGATGGGTAAAATTACCAAAGATAAGAGAAGATAGAAACAGGGCGCCACTCAATTTTTTGGGGTTAAGGAGAAAATTAAGAAACCTTAGAAAAGAAAAGAGATAAGGAAAGATATCCTTTAGAGATCAGAGATCAAACCCAAGGAAAGATACCAACAGTTAATTATCAAATAAATTTGGTCAACACAATATATAAACAAACAATAAATATATTAGGTATTACACTTACTTACCTACGAAACTTAATCAGCCTGATCTTTCTACTGGTCAAAGGTATAGTAATAAATTAATATACTAAGCAAATATTTAGAGCTACTATTTTATCAGGGAACTTGTTAGAAGCCGACAAATAAAATACATGCATAAAACATTAACAATATATTAAACACAAAATTATGCTGCTAAATGCAACACAAGTAATAAAAATACACAACTATGAAATGGTGTTATATAGGTATAAAATTAAGCAATAATATAATAAAAAATACCTTTACCAAGATATATAAGGCAATCATATACAAATATAATTTGGCGTATCTCGAGATATTATAGGAAAGATAATGAGCAAAAATTATAGCAAATACAAAAGATAGCAAAAATTTCTAACTCTAAATTTACAAAAAAAAAAACAAACAGGTTACAGAGTTGAAAACATTAACTAGCCAAACCGCACTTGGCTAGGTGGGTTACTATCTCGCACTATTAATTAATGCTAAACTGAGATGTTCATAGTTATTATTTATGGAAAGTTCTTGAATTGTTCTTTAAATTAAATATAAAAATCGGCAATCTACAGATGAAGATATGGATGAATGATGGGTGATACGTCCAGATAATGGCAGGTGATATGATACCATACCATATTACTCGCCCAGATAATTTGCAGATAAAGATTATGGTAACTTACATAATTCCTGATGACGGCAGCTTAATTCACTGAATTTAATATACTGTACTGGTATTCAACACTGAATTTAGGTACCATTAAAGGTAGTGCAGAACTATATATAACTTAATATAGTCTAAGACAAGAAAACTGAATTATAGAGTGTATACACACTTAGAAAATAATTCACAGAGACGATAATTTCAGGCAAGCGACCGCACTAAACGAGAGGCCACCGAGAAGTCTCACGAGA